AGGTAAATTATGTGAAAAATAATGTGTTTTTAAAAAAATTAACCATTAACACATGTTAGACTGCACCCCATAAACACAATCAAGCCTTGAAAACAACCACTGAACCACCCCTTTAATTTTAAAAAGTATTGATGATAATACTTTGTGTGATATGTAAACAGTATAATATATTAAAAAAATATTATTTTACCCAGTATATATGTGTGCTACTGTTCAAAAGTTTGGGGTCAGTATGATTTTTTTTTTTTAAAGACATTTATACTTTTATTCAGAAAAGAAGGATAAAAAGAGACCGTAAAGAGATTTATAAAGTTAGTAAAGATTTATATTTCAAATAAATGCTGTTTTTTGAATGTTGAAATGTTTGTTGAGCCCCCAAATCAGAATATTAGAATGATTTCTGAAGGATTATGGGACACTGAATACTGAAGTAATGGCAGCTGAAAATTCAGCTTTGCCATCATTTGCCATTACATTTTTACAATATATTAATAAACAGCTATTTTAAAATTGTAGTAATGTCACAATATTACTGTTTGTACTGCATTTTTGCTAAATAATTAATGCATAAATAAATGCAACCTTGGTGAGCATGAAAGACTTATCATGAAAGATCTTATCGACCCCAAACTTTTAAACTTTATAATAAAGTTCTTAAACATTTTTGTATTTTTATGCCTATTCTGCTGTAGAAGGCAGCTCTCTGTGTAAGTAGTAAACAGCAAGACAGCTCGCTAGGGTTTGGAACAGAGCTTATGTAAATGACAAAAATGAGAGGTTTCTTGGAAAAGAACTCTCAAGCGTATGAAATAAGAACCAACCATTTCATCATAACCCTGTTCAAAATGTCTCATCACAGCTGGCTCTGCTCATATAAACAGATGCATTGTGCATTTATGCTAATGCTTGGAATCAAAAGTGGATTCATTATGTAAAAGTAACTTTTGGAAGGTTTGTGCTACCGGGTTTTTCCAGATTTACATTATTTCAGGCTTGAATTCTTGTAACGCATCTACTGCATAAGTACATTCTTAACCCTATAAAACCTACTGTATCATATTTGATACACAAGGTTTTAAGGCCTCTAAATTATTAACATGATCAAAAACTTGTACAGAATATTCTACATGCTTTCTGTCATCTGACTGATACAGTGGTTTAGACTTTTTCTTTTAGCAAGTAAAAGGCCTTTTATTATAATGGTAAAACTGTCCACCAGGTTGTGGTACACATCTACTTTCTGCTGTGAAAATTGTACTGGTTTTTAAAGTAAACGTAAGAATAACCTTTATTGAGGAATGTTTATTTGTACATCTCTCAATTATCATTGTATTTAATTGCATTATATGTTTTGCACCCCCCCCCCTTTAAATATCTTATTAAAACATATTATTGGGAGATATAGAGTGACAAGTGATAGTTATATGCACTGTAAGTAGTCTGCTATACTGTTATGAGGATCTCATTGATTTACAATACATGCTATCAGAATTTCACCTTACTTTCCAGCCATATAAATATCTGCAACTGCACCGAATTTCTTGTTTTTGCTCAGTTTGGGCTTCTTCCTTGAGTATGAGCTCCATATTCTCCTATATCATACTGTAATGAACTGACTTCAACTGGAAAAATTACTCCGTTATTGTCTTGCATTATTGACAAACTATTTTCCTGTTTAACACTGTAAAGCTGCTTTGACACAACAGTATTGTATAAAGCGCTATACAAATAAAGGTGACTTGACTTGACTGTATGAGCCATAAAAGTCTGTTGTATCAAATATTATACTCCACTAAAACACATATACAAGCTTTTTCTTCTTTTTTTTTTAAAAAGGGGTCATATGATGTTGCTAAAAAGAACATTATTTTGTGTATTTGGTGTAATGAAATGTGTTTATGCGGTTTAAGGTAAAAAAAAAAAAAAAACGATTATTTTCCACATACTGTACATTTTTGTTTCTCCTCTATGCCCCGCCTTTCTGAAACGCATCGATTTTTACAAAGCTCATCGGTCTGAAAAGCGAGGTTTTAGTCTTTGCAACTTTACAGATCTTCTTTATGCACCATGAGCTTGTAACACTTCAAAGATAAAGGAAAAATTGAAATTGCATCATATGACCCCTTTAATTGTCTTTTGGAAACAATTGCGTGTTCATGATTTACTAACTTGAAAGTTTTTCAAATGTGTTGGAAATAGCTGGAAACAGATGTGATCACCTTACCTGCACCTGTGCTGATGTTCCTCATGCTCTCCTTTGCACTGACTCTGTTGTTGGGAGGATAATCTGGCACTGGGGCCTCATATCATTATCGTTGCAGATATAAACACATGGATTCTGTCAAACGCTCGCAGTAGCCACTGTGGAGTCTCAGTTAGAGGTTCACAATCTCTCAACCACAAATGTCTCATCTTATTTTGCAATTTCCTCATATATTCTTGATCGTTGTCCTATCTTGATATCATCGGGATGGCAAAAAACCCACAATAAAGCAATTCTCTTGTGCAGCAGTCAAACTGTAAAAAAAATTGTAAAAAAAAACAAAAAACAAGTAAACAACTAGTCTTTCACTTGCTCAGTCATTGTCCATTGGCACTGATATTATGCACTGATTTGCAGAAAGATCGTCATGGTCAGCATTTTAACCAACCCTGGCCATCACTACTGATCGCAATTGAATATTCAAATGGAAAGGCAGCATTGGCAAGGGAGTAAAATTGGACTGCAGTGCAGGCCTCTGTAAGGTATCTCGTAAATGATGCCGCATTGCCATGCAGACTTAGGATGACTGTGTATAAAAGACCATAACAGAAAGAGTAATAAACCCTGTAGTGCTCCGTCAGTCCAAGAAAACAAAGTAAGTGGATGAAGGAGAGGGGTGAAGTGTGGGGTTATGCTGCCTAGTAGTTAGATTTAAGGGCTGGAAATGAAAAGCTTGCAGGTTTGATCTATGGCTTAATGGGATAGTTAAACCAGAAATTATGTTTCATAATTTACTCAACCTCATGTTTTTCCAAATCTGTATGACTTATTTTGTGTTCCACATAGGTATGTTGTTTTGGACCACACCATAAAATGGACAAACCCTATAAAATTGACAAAAATATAGTTCTTAAAATATCATATTAGTTCTTAAAATATCATATTTTGTGTTCCACAGAGTAAACGATGACAGAATTTTCAGGTTAGGGATGCACTTCAATGTTCCAGTGTTAATTTTGACAGGCATTTTTGATTTAGTCTTTATCTTGAGACAAAAATGCACTAATGAACTATCCCTTTAACAGTAGTGAAAAGGGAGCAACTTATAAAAATTATAGTTATTCATATATAATATATATAATTTATAATTTTTGACAAATACGAAAGAGATACAAATTAAACAAATTTTTCAGATACAGTAGGTTTACTTAACATATTTATTTAACATCTTTTGTTGCTTAACATTAATGACATGGATAGATACTAAATTAGGAATGCTGTCCCTTTAAGACGGAAGGCATGCATATAATACTGACACACGTTCAGTTTTCACCCACCTGTTTACGTTCACTTAATCCATAACCGACTGTATTTACGTGAGATACTCTACACAATAGACATTTGGACTGCTGTGTGTGTATTTGAGCACTGAGAACTGATCGCGCGCTGTATATGAGAACTGAAGAATTGGAACATGCGCAAGAGAGAGCACTTCCATCTGCGCGATTCTGCCTATCCCACCTTCACTAACTTTAAGTGGGTGAACTATCCCTTTAACAGTAGTGAAACGGGAGCAACTTTAAAAATTATAGTTGTTCATATATAATATGGAGCATGCGCGAGAGAGAGCACTTCTATCAGCGTGATTCCGCCTATCCCACCTTCACTAACTTTAAGTTAATCGACAACGAATTGACTCCCGGGAAAAATGGGACGTCTAGTCACCTTATCCCTACCCCTTTGGGTGCCGAGGCCATTGTTTCAGATGGTTAGTTCGCATTTTGGTAACCTATCCATCCACTGCGGCTGCCATACTGAGACTAGATATGCGAACGCCCCTTATTCGATTGCAATCCAATAACGGGGACGCACATTTTGAAAGACAAGACAGTAGCCTATAGGATGTATTTTGAATGTCCGGTAGTCCTCAAATAACATTATAGTCCTGTCTCATCTTGTTAACGAAGACGCGGCGTAAATATCGTCATACTTTTTATCATCAGATATTCGTTTTAGCTCATCAACGTCTCATCTTAGTCACAGAAAAAATGTTCGTTAACGAATATTTTTCGTCATCGTCTTCGTTGACGAAATGAACACTGATGTTGTCTTGCCTAAACTAACTTGTAGCATTTAAAAATTTTTGTGTTTTAATACAGAATTTTAATATCAGCCATAAATTGCTTATCTACGGAGCCCTGTACATGGCATGCAGAAAAAAAAAATTAGGGATGCACGATATATCGGCCACTTTATCGGTATCGGCCGATAAATGCTCATTTTTTCTGTTATCGGTATCGGCCTGAAAAGAAAATTTGGCCGATATCTTAAAGCCGATAAATAATGCATTATTTCCTTCATAGACACTTCAGATGTGCGCTGTTCGTTTGCAGCCTTTTGTGCAATTGTACGTTGTAATATTGTGTTTATTTGATGTATATCTGATTTATCTCATATAGAATGCGTTTGGTTAAGTTAAAAGAGCGCTTCAGTTTACCGGTGATCGTCTTTAGCTCAGCGCACGCAGCTCAAACAGCAGTGCACAACATTAATAACTATGATTGGGAATGTTGTGTATATAACATTCTAATGAGAACATTATTATAATAAAACGTTGTGCATTCTTTGGGTTTAGTTGCTGTGTTTCAGCGCGTTGTTATGGGAAGAGCGCATCCACAACAGGATCACACATTCTGACTATAGCATGCAATAACTGCGTCATTTTGTACATATATAAGTTGTAATATTATGTTTATGTTGTATTAATATTAATCTCAGGATGCATTTCCTTGAGTTAAATAAGCTGCCAGCAAAACGCTTCAGTTTACCGTGTTCATTCAGCTCTTCAGCTTCAGCACGCGCAGCTCAACGGCTGCTGTTTAAAACAGTGGTATTAATTTGTTACTTTTTCAAAATCATCGATGCATTATTAATAACAACAACCACTTGTATTTTTCTCTTATTATTTTCATCAACAATATGGTTTAGTAATTAAAATCATTTAATTATTGTCCGTGCAGAGGCTATTCTGTTTTATTGATCTGTGGCGCATTCATTTTGATTCTTTACACGTGTAATGATGTCCAGTGACTTGTTTGCATTATTTATGCATTATTTTATTTGTAAGACTTTTTTATGACTAAATTTGGTAATGGGAGAGTAAAAATATTTTTAAAACGTACACCGTTCAAACTAGGCTACTTATGTTGAAGTGTTTGGGATGTGGCTTTTAATGACGAGACCTTTTTTGTAATCAGGCTCTCAAAAAGTATATAACAATTTGGATATAGATTTATCGGCCAACATATCGGTTATCGGCTTTCAAAAATAAAGAATAATTGGTTATCGGTATCGGCCAAAATTTTCATATCGGTGCATCCCTAAAAAAAATAGTAGGCCAAATCGTGTGCACGTTTTACTATTTCGTTCCCTCGATTTATAAATTGTGTGCACAATTTACTAATTCGTTCCCTCGATTTATAAATTGTGCGCACAATTTACTAATTCGTTCCCTCGATTTGCTAAATCATGCACACGATTTATAAATCGAGAGAACGAATTAGTAAATTGTGTGCATGATTTAGCAAATCGAGGGAACAAATTAGCAAATTGAGGGAAAGAAATAGTAATCCTGTGCCCATTTTAGTACATCGAGGGAACAAATTAGTAAATTGTGTGTACGATTTATTTATTTTTTCTTGCATGTCATGTGCGGAGCTCCTTACTTATCAACAATAACATGAAAATAATTAATTTAGTATAATTGAGATACTATTACAGTTTTTAAAAAAATATTTTGAATCAGTTTTTATTTTATATTTTCATTTTAATTTTAGTTAAAGTTTTAGTAATTTTTGTACTAAAAATGATAGTGTCTATATAGTTATAGGCAGTTTTAGTTTGTTTTATACCAAGTTAAACTAAATTAAAATGAGTAATGAGTTTCCTTGGCAATTAGCTAAAATACGTTTTTTACATTTTTTTCAAGTGACAATTTGTTTTAATGGTTTTAATTTTAGTTTCAGTTTTAGTTAACTACAATTACCCTGATACTCTGTAACCCTGTTTACTAATATAATTTTTTGTGACATTGCATTAAAAAGTTGGTAGTGTGGTGATAAAGATTCTTTTCTAAATGGAGAATGCTAGTGTTTGTCATGCCCACCTGCCTGAACAAGCAGCCTCCAGGTGGTGATGATGGCGGCTGGGAAGATTCCGAATGATTTATGCTAACGGTATGCCAGGTCAGCAGCTCTGCACTGCCTTTTAGTGCCAAAGAGGGCCTTAACACACATCAGCAAGCACGGAGGTAGGGCTTAATGTCCATGCCAAAATAAACATGACTTCTCAACATAACTGGCAAAACAAACAACTTTTCAATCCTGCATAATGCTTTAACCAAATGAAAGCAATGATGACGTTAGAAGTAAATCAAGCAGTAAAACAAATAACCTGAAGATAAAAACTCTATATAATCGTGACAGGCCTTTAATGAGGTAAGTGTTTGAATTCTCAGGACAACAACATGCTTAGAGCGAATCTAATGATTTGGTGCACAGACTGCATGAGTGCATAAGGATATGGGGTTTAAACCTCGGTGTCATGAAATATTCATTCTTCTCTATTATGGCTCCAGCAACACATATACCCAACCACAAATGAACAAATGGTCTGTCACCCTTCTGTAAAATATGCTCTACACACTTATGAAAGTGTGACTGATAAGGAGAATTACTGAATAACAATGAGTGACATACTGGACTGAAGCATCCCGAGACACCTGTGCTCAAGCTGAGACCTAAATAGTCATGAAGAGCATTATATGTGATGTGCAAAGACAGGTTTTCCACAAAATAAACAATGGCACATACAAGATGAAAATACCATCAGGGTCTGAAGAGGAGCTTGTGAGGAATTATCTAATAATTGGAGATTTTCCACAGAGAATATACGTCTCCTTTGGTAAAAAATAAATAAAGTGAAAGCGCTGACACCTAACATTTTTGTCCTTTGTAGAGCAAGCATTAAATATAATGAGCGAGGCAAATGCAGACAAGTGGATAGTACCGCTACTTACGCAATATTTCATAGTTCAAA